GATTCAAAAGGGGCCCTCCCCCCACCTAAATTTTTCAAAAATTATATTTAAATTTAATGCCTGAGAGTGGCATTTCCGGCCATCTAGAGATGACATAATCGTAAATTTTCTTACCTTAGCCCCAACACCATGGTTTGGCTGAAGTGGTATAGACCCTCCATCTTTCAATGTCCGTCCCTGGGCCCCCTATTTTTCAAATTTCAGGATCCGCCACTGTTAGTAATTGGAAATTCTCGCCACATTAAAGCCATTTCAGAAAACCTAAACGATTGATTAATTCTAGAGATATTAATGTTAACAGTGTTTTAAAGAAGCTGATAAGTTAGGTCACATACTGCCAGGACCCGTTTAAGTACCACGCGTCGAAAATTCCTTGTAATTGACGTAATCACAGGATACACAATCTTTCGAAGGGTTTAAAATGTTCCTTAATTTATTGTATTTTAACGTGTTTTTCGCTTACATCCTAATTTTCTCGCCTCCTTTCTTGGAGCGCCTTGAGCACTTTAGTGGAGATGTGCGCTTAATAAATCTTATTATTATTATTATTATTATTATTTGTCATTTTCGCATAGGCCTACTCTACCTCTAGAACGCTCCGAGATTTCACTACCCAAAATGTGGTTTCCCTCGCAAAGCTGATGCTATCAGGTCAAATGCGGCCTGAGGCGGTAAGGCAAGCTTTCTCATGACTGACGCTGATAATTGCTTATTTTATTATTATATTTGGAATACAACAAAAAATCTTCATTTGTTAGGGACATCAGTCAAAGTTATTCTAGTGGAATACACAGATTCGACATAGGCCTATAATTAGTTAATAAATAATTATGTAGTTAAAATAATAATTATATAGTTAGTGAGTTAATTTGACTCGATTTAAATGTGTGAGTGTTATTCCCCGGGCAGATGTGGATATAGAGATTATTTGGCTCGCTGGAGATTTGCTTATTTTGAAGTCCTACCAATGTTTAAATGATTGAGTTTGAATAAACGTCAATGTGGACGTCAAACAATAGGCCTACCTGATAATATTAACAGTAATGACATTAATTATGATGTTAATGATAGTAATAATGCTTATTATTATTATTATTATTATTATTATTATTATTATTATTATTATTTTTATTGTTTATAATAATAATAATAATAATAATAGTAATAATAATAATAATAATAATAATAATACTGTAATGATATGATCATGAAGTTGATGATAGTGATACTAATATTAATACCAATATTACATTAATAGTATTTGTAGTGCGCCTTCAGTACAGGATTTCAGTATTACTAATAGGACTGAAATGCCAAGTAAATTCAGTATCAGTACTTACATCTTCTTCCCTTCTTTTTAACATGTTCCGTCTTTCGACATTACGTTTTCCACAATTTGTTTCCATTTGTTTCTGTTCAAGCAGCATGATTTGTTATAGTGTTTGTGTTTACATGTCCTTCCAGGTCTTTCTTAATTTGGCTCATCCAGTTATTTTTGGGACTTCCTACTGGTCGGTTTACTTCCCGTTTTAGCTCTTCTATTGTTTTTTTTGTTTTTGTTTTTTTTTTGTTTTTTTGTTTTTTTTACTGGAGTGTCGTCCGATAGTCTAATCATGTGTCCGTACCATTTTAATCTCCTGCGTTTAATTCTTGTGCTCCATTATTCCTGTTCTAGTAATTGAAATAGTAAGTAGCAAGGCACTGACGATATAGACCACATCAATCGATAGGAGGTGTAGGCCATACAACCAAAAACACGCAAATTATAAACCATCTATATTTTCCTAACAATTTAAAATTTTCCCTTTCATATTTTGTTATCCTACTTAGTTCTAATCATAAACAAGTGTATAATTGATTAATTTAAGGTTTACTCATATACTGTAGTCGTATTGCAAAACCTGAATTGACAAAATATTTATAATAGAACGTATAAAATGGACTATAGAATATAAATACATATAAAATATAAAAGTGATATTCAAAATTAAATCAATAGATACCGTATATTAAACATATATAATTATACGTTAACGTTTAAAGATTTTCAATACAATAATACGAAAATATTTGGAGTTGGAATAATTAAGAATAAGATTAAAGTTTTATTAATTTATGTATGAAAGTTGAATTAAATAATTAGGAAAGATTGCAAATTATTAGGACAAGATTGCACAAGAGGGACATAAAAATATGTAAGATTAAATTTCAAAATGTAAGGAAATTACTAACATGTTTTAAAGCAGATTGGACTTTTTCTTTTCTCTTTGAGTACTGTAACAAGGTACATAATTGATTTAGAATTTCTGGGGTTCTTTTCATGCATATCTTCTCGCTTCGATGAACCCATGATACACATTTCTCACATTCATAAGAAAATAAAGAAAACTTCATAAATATTTGATTACGTTTGTCTTGCGTACAAGTTTAGATTACATTCACCATAGATCAGAATACGGTGGTAGATCCTGTAAAATATTTTTGATATAAGATCTGTACAATTACCAAGTGATTTTCTAGCTTTTGTATTCAAATTACATCAGGTATATATCTTAATTATTAAATAATTGTTTAAATACTATACGCATGTAGGTCATCTTTTGTTATTATTATTATTATTATTATTATTATTATTATTATTATAATGGTCACATTATTAAGAAGACACAACAATAATTGTTACTTAACCAATATCCTGAGGCGCGTGGAACGGAGAGAGTAGAGAAAACAGTAGAACTTATACATACTGTTTGTGGTGCTGAACTAATAATAATAATTCAAATAATAAAACATTAAATAGTTAAACCGTTATTAAATTTTTAATTATTGGTCATGTTGTAACTTCAGCCGTTGTCTTTCAAACCATTTAAATTATCGTAGCAAAAAGTATAAAAACTAACTTGTGTTTTTAATGAAAGTTAATCACTTGTAAATTATAAATGCTTGAAAATGTGTAGTTCAATGGTTTGATTGAATGTGTGTGGAATGGGAATTGAATATATGGCGTAGACCTATGTTTAAGAAAAAAATACAAAGTATAGGCCTATGTAGGCCTAAAAAAAAACAAAGGTTACTTTGTATTTGGTCACGGAGGGCTATATCTGAGGATTTTTCAAATGAAAGATAGGGGGTAGCTAGCTACCCTATTCTCCCTTCTCCCTCCATGACTGGATCCGCCAATGATCGCGCACACAGCAAATCTATTATATTATAGATGTATCGAGTTTAAGTGGATGGTGGCTCGTTTATTGCTCGTCCCGGTAGAGTCGGTGTCAGTATCAGATTGACTGCAATACAATAAACTCCTACTTGTTTAACTTTGTATACCACAAATTGTAGTTGTGGTCAGCGAATGTCCTTATAATTATCTAAAAGTATTTACACTGAAGAGTTATCCTTTACCACAAACCACAGAAAGCCGTTGAGTTCAGCCAGACTAACATTCATATAAGCTTATTTGGAATATGAACTGGAATCTGGGGAATTCATGTTGCAATATCGCACATGATCTTAAATCGGCTAATACTATACAATTTAATTTTGTTTTTAGTGTATTTTAATATTTAAAGGCCTGGTCATCTCCAATGAGTATGGACTATTCCATTGTTAATCATGCCGTGTTGCCCTTGTCGTCCGCAAAAAAATTAACACAACAATTAAGTTTGCTTTTCGTTTATCCTGTCACCGACAGTAGGGATGCTTTGGTTTTATTTTGTTTTTGTAATTGCTTGAAAAATAAATAAAATGAAATGAAAAAATACTGTTTGCTCTCCTTATTCCTACAGATGGTATGTTTATTCATCATGAGAAAAGAACTTTTCACAAATTATTGCCCTGGAATGGGAAAAGGAAACCGAATAATTAACGAAGTAAGCAACGATCAAACAAAATTGAACTTAAGAAAAACCAACATACTTTTTAATGTGATTACAGGATATACATATCGTATGTAGATTTCTGTTGCATATCAAGTCATATTAATAGTGATTCTATGTTTAGAATTATCAAATTGTAGGCCTAGGCCTAAGTAGACCAAGTCCCGTTGCAAGTGTCAGCTGTCTCTTATACAATACATATAAAATATAAAAGTGATATTCAAAATTAAATCAATAGATACCGTATATTAAGCATATATAATTATACGTTAACGTTTAAAGATATTAATTTCAATACAATAATACAAAAATATTTGGAGTTGGAATAATTAAGAATAAGATTAAAGTTTTATTAATTTATGTACGAAAGTTGAATTAAATTATTAGGACAAGATTGCACAAGAGGGACATAAAAATATGTAAGATTAAATTTCAAAATGTAAGGAAATTACTAACATGTTTTAAAGCAGATTGGACTTTTTCTTTTCTCTTTGAGTACTGTAACAAGGTACATAATTGATTTAGAGTATCTGGGGTTCTTTTCATGCATATCTTCTCGCTTCGATGAACCCATGATACACATTTCTCACATTAATAAGAAAATAAAGAAAACTTCATAAATATTTGATTACGTTTGTCTTGTACAAGTTTAGATTACATTCCCCATAGATCAGAATCCGGTGGTAGATCCTGTAAAATATTTTTGATATAAGATCTGTACATTTACCAAGTGATTTTCTAGCTTTTGTATTCATATTACATCAGGTATATATCATAATTATTAAATGATTGTTTAAATACTATACGCATGTAGGTCATATTTTGTTATTATTATTATTATATCAATTTCGATGAATATGGATTCCTCGTCGATCTCAGGTGTCCACCAACGGTAGCCCGAGTGACGAAATTTCACCGCTGTTGCTGTTTCTTCATAGCACTCGGTCCATGTGGGGAATTCAGATGTTTGAATTATCCATGTCGTATCGTATCGCGGATGCATATCGTCATAGATGACCGTCTCATGTATCGAAAACAATTATACACTGCATGAAGCCTGACCTCAACGAATTCCTAAATTATGCTTACAAATTGGAACAGACCGAACCCTTCGATTACGGCAACTTAGATGAAATAACATGCACACTTCAGACAAATGGGACTATTGAATCCAGGTTCTAGAAGAAATAGGCCCTACTAGGTTTATATTCATTAATAGTTGAAGCCTAATTGTACAATCTTCAACAAGAAACACGGATTTGTGCATAATTGTGAGAAGAACGCAAATCGAGTAAAAGGTAGGCCCTACCGTTCTATTTTATTGATTTTCATGTCTTTAGGAAATTATAAAATTGTATAAGGCCTATGTATATCTATAGGCCTATATGCAGTATATATACGGTACTATATATATATATAAATATATATACTGTATACAGTGTATGCTGTGTATACTACTTTTCAAAATGAATGCTATAAATTTTTGGAATTACTCTATATAACAATAGGGCCACTGTAACATCAATCTATATCATGGAGTGTATTAACTGGTACTAAATCACCTAAACTACTGTATAAACCAAGTGTTTTTTTAATATATTTTGTTTCTTCGAAATTCATGCACAGATGTACTGTACTATCTC